GGGGGGAGGGGGGAGGAAGGGAAGGAGGGAGGGAGGGGGGGAGAGAAAAAGAAGAAACCGGACGACAAGGTTCAGAGGTCGTCAGACATCGACGACACTGTGTTTGTTTCCACTGAACTTTTCGCGGCAACGCGTTTTCGATCCACGCCGATATCGCGTCCGATGGTCAGAATTTTTGTGCGGGTCAAAATGTGATTGACACGCGTGCTTAGTTTCTTTCCTCGCTTTTTCATCGTTTTCGTCGATATCTAATTTGTTTCGAATTAACCGGTTCCTTTTTTCAAGTACGCTCTCCTCACTTTCGAACGAAGGAATTTGTTTCAAAAAGACCGATACGATCGTTCGTCGTTTGGTTTTCTTCGTCCGCTCGTAACGCTTCTATGGTCGATGATTCGTTCGACAGCGACTTTTATTCAGTATGTTTCAGTGCTTTGTGGTATTATCGATGAACAGACGGATAATATATTAGTGTGCTCGCTCCTTTCTGCTATTCTAGTTGACTTCACGATTAAGCTTTGCAATTAAACGCTCTTATAGCTTCTGTCGTAGCCTCTACAGTCTTTCCGCGGTTTTAGCCAACGCTAACTTTGTTTGTTATCTTGGAAGATCAGTGTTACGCATAAATTGTTCTACACACGTGTGGTTCCCGGTACTTTCGCTTCTTCGCATTCGTCCCTTCGTTTTTCTATTTTCGCGTCACTTACGGCGATTCTTTAATGAACTATATTTCGATTTGTTTGCCGATAATTGTTATTATCTTGTAAATGTAAGTCATCAACGGTGTTATTCAGTCTTCTGAGACGAAAATGAACTTCCTTGTTTTCCCGGTGTTGTCTTTTTTTCTTTTTTTTTTTTTCTTTTGAATGGTGCTGTCAACATCTTAATGGATCCCGATCGTTAAAAACGTAATGATAGCTACGCATGTAATACGTAGTGGAGGGATACGATATGGACATTACCACGAGGAGGAAGGACGTGAGTGTTATTCACACGATCTGGTGACGTCCACGTGTATAAGTATAGTCAAACGTACGATGTAAATGCGTATATCCAGTCGTATTATGGATATGGTATTCTACATATAAGATTATGTAACTCGTGTCATGCGGTATATTTGTCTGTATTATCCAATATATTATTTCACATTATTCTTTGTTACTATTCTCATATATTATTTGTTATTATTATTTTGCGTTGGAGAAAATATAAAAAAATCTCTTTGCCATTCTTTCGCAAGGTAACTATCGCGATAATCGATTTTCGTATTTGATATCGATCTAGGTAATAATTATTTCGAAAACGAAACTTCTGGTATCTTCGATTAATCGTGATAAATTTGCTGTGAAATTAATTCACAAACGTCCAACTTATTTACTCTTTCCTCGTGTATTTGAAAAGGAAAATTCATTTCCATTGTTACTCATTTTTACATTACTTCGCACCAGGCAGTAATATCGTCAGTTTTTACTTAACCAAATGATGTACGAAGTTTTGCTTAGGAATTCTTTAATTCTATAATTTGCAAACCTATAACTTCGTGGCAAATTTCCATTTACGAATACGAGTACCATTCCTTCGTCTCTTGTCGTAAAATACGTAATTCATTTCTAGTATTACAGTATATTAATAATTTTACGTAATCAAATTGTACGGGAAGTCTGTTTAGAAATTTTTCAGATTTTAGAATAAACGTTCCGTTTGCAGAGTCAGAATCATCGCGCTTAGAGATCAACAACATTTCGTACTTCACATTAAAATGAATGCTCAGCTTTGTCGACGATAAGTCTGTACGTGTTCGCTATTTCGTTCGGAAAGAAGTTGTCCGTTTATCAGCCGAACGGGAGAAATGCTTTGATGATAGTTAATCGAGACGGAGAAGATTTTGACCGCGAGTGCCGCGTGCTCGATTCGTGACTTCTACGAAGAATCGTACGATGTTAAGTCACAAATCCGACAACTAACTGAGAACGTGCTTGCCTGATTGTGTATCAGTAATTTACAAATCGTCTATCTAACGAGGTCTATCGTGATAATACTCTCAACCTAAACGTAAACTTATTGTTGTTACGTTCGCTAGCTCCTCAACGCTTCTTCTCTTTTCCTTCTTCTTTGTTTGTTTTGCCCTTTTTTTCGTTTTGTTTTGCCTACGCGATATTAGAAATTCAATTAGAAATGAAATTTCTCATCGTAATCCGTAAGCTTTTAGATTTGGGAAGAGGGAAAAACATTTTCTAAATCCTATTTCATACTGTACAATCTTTTTACACGCGGTATAAAATGTTTTTACGCAAAAAAATTGATTAATAATTGACTAATAGCGCAAAAAATGAACAGTAACTGCAAAAAACTACAGATTAAAATGCGATCGTCAAGTATGTATAACGTCAATAACTTTAATCATACGTACGAAGTTATAAGATTAAATTATATTTGACAAAAATCTCATAATAATGTTATATGTACAATACAAACAACTTGTTGCTGATAACATTAATAAGGGAACGCTTTTTATTAACATTATCGGTAGTTTCATGGTGTGGGAATGATAGAGAATGACGTGGAGGGGATGAGAACCTTTGACCGTTTCGAAATACACCTACAGTATATTCAATTGTCTTGTGAAATTTGTAATTTAGAGACAGTAGGAACAGTTTTATGATATCGATAAAATACATATCGCAGGTGCGAAAAGCTGATGGACAATAATTATTCTGAATGTAAGTAAGTTCTTGACATAATCTCAAGACAAGCTACAGCTCAAGCTCGAATAATCACGATCAAAATGCTAACGTATGTAATATACAGTAGCGCGAGATATTTTTATATTCAAATATCTTTGTATTTTCAAATCGATCTGTTTCCATAAAAATAGTTAAACATGTATCTTCTAAATATTTCTTGTAATTGTAGAAACTTATCCACCGTAATTAATGACAGTTGGATCGATCTTTTTAAAAATGATATATATATATACATATATATAACTTAATCAACCGATCTATGAAAAATTAGAGATATAATTAGCACGATACTAAATATCATATTTAGTAATGCAACAAAAGATTGACTATCAAGGTCGCCGATCACGTGAATATAGAATTTTATAAAATCACATGATATGTAAAATGTCGTTCATTGATAAGTGCAGTATCATCTATTGCATAATCGACAATGCGGGTATTACGATTGACAGCCTATAAAACATTTGTATACTAATATGCGAAACATTCTATCATTTTTTCCCACAATTTAACTTTTATTATCTTCGATTCGAATGTTTCCTTGTATTCTTGTTCTTCTTTTATTTATACAATTTTCCTGTTGACCAATGCACGATAGTATGTAATATTTGAACTGAATGAAAAGATGCAAACCGAAAATGTCGACAGAGAAAGAAAAGATCTTTAAAAGGCTATTACTTTATCGCAAAAATCGACGATCAATAGATATCGTATATTATCAATTATGAAATATAAATAAATTCAATGACGCTCGATAACACTAACAAACGTAATATCTACAAATAAAGGGTAAAATATAAATTGTCAAGCTGGAATGAAATAGTTATACGAAGATTAGTTTACAAATAAATTAACTTATCGTCTGTGAATTCATATAAGCTATTAGTGTATTTTAATTTTACGAAGCACTACATAGGCACACGGAAGTGTATGTTTTCTTATTTAATAAACGTATTATAGCGCTACGATTCCTCAAAATTTTAATACAAGAATCCAATACTTTGCATAACAAACGGACGAAATTTTTATTCATATTGTATTGTACGACAGTTACGTATATTTAGCGGTAACAAACTCTATAGATTTTCACACAAGGTAATCAAAAAATTGACAGACCGTTCTGATTGGTTGATTGACGAGTCAGGCGACGTATACTCTATTTTGATTGGTTGGTGGAAACCGTGTGGTGTATCCAAGT